TAACACATTTTGGGAAAGCATGAACATATTAAATTCAAAGGAAACGTCAGCTCTACACATTTGATTGTGGGAAAGTCCAACTAGCAGCCCTTCATCACCTTAAAGAAAATAGGGTGAATCCATATCATATAACCGATTCACTGGTCTCGAAATTGCATATAAAGGGAAAACTCGAAGCCATTATTTGTAGGCCGAATTAGTTGAAAGATCTTTGACTGTTAGCATATATCTTAGAATGTCTGTGGTTATGCGTTTAAGTGGTATCTATATGGATTGAGACCAGATTAGTTTGTAAGGTAAGGAACTATCTCTTCCTCTTTATATAAGAGCTAAGCCGGATGATCAAATTTCCCACAATCAAATCAGTGGAAGTCATTATGCTAATCAATTACAGTTGGTCTTGTCAGTCAGAGTAGAAAGCAATTTTAATCTCGCCTGGGTTTAATGAGCATCCAGAACAGGATTTTTATAAACTGTGAGAATGCTCAATCATGATTTATGTCTATATAATAAAATGAATTTGGCAAATCTCTTGCTTTACAGATCACTTTTGTATGCCGGATATTAAATTGCCAAAGTTGAATAGAGGTAAACTACACCAAGTACAATAATGTTGCAAAAAGCGACCCTTTTAAGTATACCGTCATAGGCCAATTGTGAATTGACCAATGTTGTAGCTTAGGTTTATTCTTCACACATCCATTTTATTCATGATATCCTAGGCTTAACAAAGAGATTATTTTCTGCTTTTCACATTGCTGCTTGTTATACTTAAGTTTGGTCGACTCATTAACTTCTTTACTTAACATTACATTTCTGTCAGAGAGTCCCTTTCAAATTGTGAATCCGAGAGCCACTGTTACTTGTGACAGTCTATTTTTAATTCTTCCTATTTTCATGGTCCTGTTTATTTTGATCCACACGAGGTAGGGCAATCATAGTAGGAATTATCTGGAAATAACTCTATGTAAACCATATTTCGCTGATTTGCATTTAGAATGACGATTGGTGAATAATGCCAATAAAAGGATAGTTAAGGTGTAACCACCTACTCAAAACATTCCACTTGCTTTTCTTCCTATACAGACTTCAGCGTAATTTGCGTCCTAGCCTCTTTCCTCCACCTAATTCTGACCAGCTTCATCTGGACCGGTGTCGCCGTGTTCTACCGCACGATCAAAACACTGGCGGTTTCTTCATAGCCGTGTTGGAAAAGATTCGACATCTACCTTGGATGAATGCCAGTAAGGGGGAAAAGAGTGTGGATGACCAGTGCTGCATCAAATCGGTGGATGTAAGCGGTAGAACAGAAGATAAAAAATCTATAGAAGAGCCTGAGGAGAAAGATCGGGCTGTGGACCAAGAGGCCGACTGTGAGTTGAGCCTTTGCTTTTTAATTCGTCCTTTGTCTGACTTGTATTTAGGACTAGTAACGCGGTCTTAAGGTGGCCGAGTCACTTTCTGCATAATCTTATATTTATTAAACAAATCT